TTCCCTCTGGGCCCTCTTCTCCCTAACCCACAGATGACAAACAAAAGGCCCGAGGGCCGAATCCAGCCCCTCCACCTTGTTTTATCTGCCTGGCACCTTGTTTCTACTCAGTAGCAGTACCGAGCTCTTGCTTAACAGTTCAGGAGTAGCTACATTCACACAGTCCTAACATTACATTCGGCCCTTTGAAGGCAACCACAAGGCTGAGGCTGATGTGGACCGTGGTGAAAATGAGTTTGAATCACCACTTGCTCCTCACTTCAATCTCTGGCTGCCACCTCCAACATTTCAATGGCACTGCCTCATAATCACTTGTTAAATGTAATGTTTTTTTTTTCAATTCTTCTATTAATAGACTTCCTCACTGCATTTGACACTCATGATTATTCCTTCCATATCGATAAATTGTATTCTCTGACTTCCCACGATGCCACGTTCTCAGGGGTCTCTGACATTCTGTTCTCTGCCTCCTTCACTGACTCCTGATCTTAACTTGCTCCTAAAAATGTTAATGTTCCCTAGCATTGCATCACCAGTACATTTCCTTTTCCTAGCTACGCATTCTTATGTAATCCTCTACCTTAAAAAATAGAGAAGCCTTTAGAGAACTAGCCATCAGAGAGATGCAGATTAAAACCATAATGAGATAACACCTCACACCTGTCAGAATGGCCATCATAACCAAATCAACAAACATCAAATGCTGGCTACATGTGGAGAAAAAGGGAACCCTAGTGCACTATGTGTGGGAATGCAGACTGGTGCAGCCACTGTGGAAAGCAGTGGCTATGGAATACCCTCAGAAAACTAAAAATGGAAGTGCTTTATTACCCAGTGATCCCACTGCAGGGAATATATCCAAAGGAACCCAAAACACTAATTCAAATGAATATATTCACCCCTATGTTCATTGCGGCTTTACTTACAATACCCAACATTTGGAAGCAACAGAAGTGTCAGTAGATGAGGGGATAAAAAAGCTGTGGTACATTTACGCAATGGAGTACTATCCAGCTCTCTCAAAAAAATGAAATGTTACCTTTTGTGACAGCATGATGGGTCTGGAGAACATGATGCTAAGTGAGATAAGCCAGTCAGAAGAAGACAAATACCATATGATTTAATTCATATGTGGAATCTAATGAACAAACTGAACTAACGAAGTGGAGATAAACTGCACTACAAGGAACAGACTGAGAACTGTCAGCAAGGAGGAGGTAAGGGGCTGGGTGAGAAGGGTGAAGGGATTAAGAAAAGAAAAAAAAAAGAAAGAACAATTCATACAGGCAGACAACAATATGGCAATTACCAGAGGGAAGAGAAATGGAGAGAGGGCAGAGAGGATAAAGGGAGGATAAATGGTGATGGAAGGAGATGACCTGGGGTAGTGAATGCACAGTACGATATACAGATGATGTGTCATACAATTGTACACCTGAAAACTATATAATTTTACTAACCAATATCACTGCAATAAATTCAATTTTTAAAAAAGATGTCCCTTTTAAGCTTCAGAGCCAAAGATCCATCTGCCTGCTAGATCTCTCTACTTAGCTGTTTTAAAGGTACTTCAACCCAGAGAAACCTCTAAGTCACTTCTGACTCTACCTTCTTTTTCACTGTCCCCTCCAGGCTTGAGTTCAATCAAAATCTCACCAATTTTACCTCATAGACACTTTTTAAACCTTTTTCCCCTTATCTCTTCCATCTTTTCCACCTTTACTTCCACTACCCTGGTTCAGGACTTCACCAATGCACACCCGGATTATGGCAACAGCTGCTTATCTGGCCTTTTGGAATCCAAACCTGCCTCCTCAACTTTAAAAGTGAAGTGGCTACGTGCCTGTACACTGGAGCCACAGTCCAAATGCTGCCTCTGCCATTTACTAGCTGTGTGCTACTGGACAAGTTACTTAATCTTCCCATGCCAGTTTTTTCACCTGCACAATATAAAGAAGAATAGCACCTAGTTCACAGGGATATCATAAGCATTCATTGTGTTAATGTACAAATAAGGCCCACAGAGCTATGCCAAACATAGCAGGGGCTACATAAATGGGGGCTATTCTTTTTTTTATTGATTATGCTGTTACAGTTGTTCTATTCCCCCCTTCATTCCCCTCCACCCTACCCCCCTTCCCCACCATTACCCCCCCTTTAGTTTATGACCATGTGTCTCAAGTTCTTTACATTCTATATTTCCCATGCTATTCTTGCCCCCCCATCTATTTTATATCTACTCTCTATGCTACTTATTTTCTGTACCTTCTCCCCCCATCTCCTCCTCCCACTCCCCTGTTGATAACCTCCTTGAGATCTTCATTTCTATGTTTCCACTCCTGATCTAGCTGTCCTTTTAGTTTGCTTTCGTTTTAGGTGTGGTTGTTAATAACTGTGAGTTTGTTGTCCTTTCACTGTTCATGTTTCTTTAACTTCTTTTTCTTAGATAAGTCCCTTTAACATTTCATATAATAAGGGCTTGGTGATGATGAACTCCTTCAATTTGATCTTATCTGAGAAGCACTTTATCTGTCCTTCCATTCTAAACGAAAGTTTTGCTGGATAGAGCAATCTTGGTTGTAGGTCTTTGGATTTCATGACTTGGAATACCTCTTTCCAGCCCCTTCTTGCCTGTAAGGTCTCTTTTGAGAAATCTGCTGACAGTCTGATGAGGACTCCTTTGTAGGTGACTGTCCCCTTAGCTCTTGCTGCTTCTAGGATTCTCTCCTTCATTTTAATCTTGGCTAATGTAATGATGATGTGCCTTGGTGTGTTCCTTCTTGGGTCCAACTTCTTTGGGACTCTCTGAGCTTCCTGGATTTCCTGGAAGTCTATTTCCTTTGCCAGCTTGGGGAAATTCTCCTTTATTATTTGTTCAAATAAGTTTTCCACTGGTGGCTGTGCCTTTCCCCCTTCTGGTACCCCTATAATTCGGATGTTGGAGCATTTAAAGATGTCCTGGAGGTTCCTAAGACTCTCCTCATTTCTTTGAATTCTTGCTTCCTGACTCTTTTCTGTTTGGCCATTATTTGCTTTCTTCTGGTCCACTCCATTGATTTGAGTCCCAGTTTCCTTTTCATTGCTATTGGTGTCCTGTGCAATTCCATTCATTTCAATTAGTTTCGCCTTCATATATTTGTCTAATTTGTTGGTATAATCAACCAGTTCTGTGAGGATCCTGATGACCAGTGTTTTAAACTGTGCGTCTGAGAGTTTTGCTATTTCTTCATCGCTTAGATCTATGGGCTTTGGGGCTTTGAGATCTTCTTGCGACATTTTTGGTCTGTTCTGGCCCTTTAAGTGTGAGAAGCAGTGCCTTGGACTCCCAGGTCGCTGGGTTGTGACGCTGTATGTGGGGGCGTGGTCAGAGCGGGGAAATGGCGGCACCCTCTACTGCCGCTTGCCACGGGGACCAGCCGGGCCCCGGTCCAACTGCCCACTCCCTCGCCTGTCCGCTCGCGCACAAATGGGTGACCATAGTCAACACGCAGCACCACTTCCCCGCAGTCTCCTCCGCGGTCGCTCGCCTGGTGGCTCGCTCGGTGGCTCACTAGGTCCAACCCTGCGCCTGGATTCCGCGAGTCTGGATTCCGTGCGTCTGGATTCCGTGCCTGAGTACGTCTGACCGAGTCCTCCTGTGCAACCCGTCACCAGCTGCTGGTTTCGCCCCTTACCGGTCAGGCTGAAGAATTTGTTGTTAACGGACTTCCGAAAAGTTCAATTTTCTGTGTTCTGGCTGTGTTTTCTGTTGCTAATATTTAGTTGTCTCTAAACTTGGTTGTGTGAGAAGGCACGGCACATCCACCTATGCCCCCATCTTGGCAGAAGTCTTGGGTTCTTCTTTTTTCGGGGCTATTCTTAATAGACTAAAAACATGATCAGATAACTCCACCACTCAAAGTCCCTCAATGGTGTCCATGCCCTAAAATACATAATCTAGGCTCTTAAGCATGGAGCTTTGGAACCTTCCTTGCCTACCTCTCCTGGCCTATTTTATCACCCTGTGTCTGAAATCTTACCTTTCAATACACAATACCTCAAAGATCCACACACATGCTATGTCATTTTTTCCCACATAACTCTGTTTACACTGTCCCTTCCCTTGAAATGCCTTTCCTCTTACTCTTCACTTGAGTTCCTAATTCTCAGCCCCTAAAGTCCTCATTACTAATAGTATTTCAAGCGTAACTGAGTAATTCTAGGGAACAGGAATTTTGGACAGTTCGTAAGGCTGTAGATGGTAAAAAATTGGGTTGCTTCTATTTGTCATGTATGCCCTGAGAATCCCTCATATTAAAAATAAACCGTTAGTTGGTAACAAATGATTTCAGCTAATGTTCAATAATGGTACTTAGAGTAAAAGTTTATAATGAAAAACATCGGATTCTGCATCACTTCTCCCAGGCTGGGTTAGGGGTGCCTGTTTTGTGTTCCCGTACTTTTTCACGTATATCTATCCATGGTTCTTCCTCATGGATTTACAATTATCTGCTTACTTGTACCTCCCTAAAAAGTGAGTCCCTTTTGGACAGGAAGGGGTCTTATGATAGGTGACTATCATAGTGCCAATCTCATAACAAGTACTCATAAATTGTGATGAATGAATGAATATCCAGGGGCATCGCTTTAGGTTCCTTAATCATTCATTCAACACACCTTGACCAGGTGCCTTTATGTGGCAGTGAACAGCTGTGCACAGCAGTAAATACATGAATATGAATGAAAGTCTGTCTGGCTAAGTATGGGGAAGACGGACAAGTCCACAGGTAATTGCAGGGTGATAAGAACTATAGACCCATAGTAGTAAATGATTTCCACCACCAACCTCTCCCTGCACCTTCTGTCTTTTCATTCTGGACTATTCCTGAAGTACCACTTTTCATTAATTTCTACCAAGGACATCACTGGCACACGTTTGTAGAAATTAGCACCCAACCTGAAATATTTGCGAGAAAGGTTTATAGAAATTTATAAAGCAAGAAAAAGTATTATATACTTACATCATTTCAGTGACCTTCAGTAACTGGGACAGCAGGAAAACTCTGAGAACAGAAAAGAAATTTTGGTCACTATAAGAGTTTTTTCATCACCATAATTCCATATTTTTAAATAAACACCATAAAATCCTCACCCTTCTCTATGCCTATGTCCAAGGTATAATGTCCCCCCAAAACTGCTAACTCTGAATGATACATACTTTTAAATTTGTACCTAGTCACTATAATTTATTTATTGAACTCACATTTTATAAAGGCCTGCTCTATTTCAGACACTTCAGGTGAGGTAGGGTACAAGACCAAGAAAACCCCCTCCTGCTCTCACCGAACTTAGACTACTGGGAAAAACAGTCAATTTAGGAGTCAACATTATGATGCAGTTAGATAAATGTATTTTGTTTAACATCATGTCCAGACTCATTAAGTCAGACTGGAAAACCATAGGAACTGCCATTCATGGCTTTCATCAGACAATGAACATCACTATGTTTTCAGTAGTGAAATCTGGCCACTGAATCTCATTAATGACTTTCAAACATCTCTGGTAAAGGCATGGCAGGACAGATGGATGGCTAATCTACTTACTTGCAGCAGGGGTGTCAAACTTATTTTCCCCAAGGGCCACATCAGCCTCTTGGGTGCCTTCAAAGGGCCATATGTAACTTTAGGACTGTATAAATGTAACTACTCCTTAACTGTTAAGTGAGAGCTTGGTGCTGTTGCCAGGTAGAAACAAGGTGGAGGGTTGGATTCAGCCTGTGGGCCTTGTGTTTGCCACCTGTGACTTACAGTAATGTGTACACAGTTTCTCTTCTCTGGTTAACCCTGCATTTTAGCACTAGCCTTCTTCCAAGGAAATTCTTAACATTGCCTATAAAACTAATGCTACTCAATTTCAGGAACCCTGGACAGTCTGGGAAAAATATTTGCAATCATAGAAACCTTTGGGGCCAACCTCCCACATCACACCACACAGACATGGAAGTATTCCCTGCCTGAGTCCTCCGCATGGCAGATCACCTGTATTCAGCCCTTACCCTTCTCCTCTTCTTGTTACCGGGGAGAGTTCAGGGGGTAGCCAGTCACTTTCACTGTGTGAGAATAAAAAGGAAATTCAAGATAGCCATACATTTGGATTCTTCCAGCAATGGTTAGGCTTGGTTGAAATGCTTATAAATTTTTTAAGTGCCAGGTGTTTTGTGGCTTCTTTTAAGGTCCCTGAGAATAAGGATAGCACTAAGTATAGGCAGGGCAAGCATCAGATAAAGAATCTAATTTTATGGTTTCTAGGTGTGTCTCTCTTTTCTCACTCAAGCAACTGTCCAAGTTCCCTAATTATCACAGTGCCTGAAATTACACTTGGTGGGGTTTCAGAAGCTTTCCAGTAGCTCTGGCCATAACCCATGTGATTTGATTGAAGAGTGACTCAAAAGGTTCCCCCTTCCCTAAAATCTGTCTCTGGTCAGTCTACAGTAGCACACTAAATTTTATCAGTATATAATTTGGGTAAAAGCAGTAAAGAGCCCTATTATGTCATAAGTTCTAACTTGAAGAAGGAATTCCTTAACTAACTGTGTCAATCCCCACTGCATTGAGGAGGGGAAAAGAGATTTTCAATGCAGCATAAATCAGTAAACATGTATAAAGGGCCCATTATGTGCAAGGTAATGTTTAGGTGGTGGCCATACACAGATGAAAAGACATGGGTTCTATAGCAAGGAACTTACAAGTGGAATATAGATGAGGCTACTGGGTACAATATGAAATACTGTGAAGTAGGAAGCTTAAAAAATAAAGATAATAGCCCTGGCTGGTGTGGCTCAGTGGGTTGAGTGCAAGCCTATGAACCAAAGGGTTGCCAGTTTGATTCCCAGTCAGGGCACATGCCTGGGTTGTGGGCCAGGTCCCCAGTAGGGGGCCACTCAAGAGGCAACCATACATTGATGTTTCTCTCCCTTTCTCCCTCCCTTCCCCTCTGTCTGAAAAGAAATCTTTTTCAAAACCTTTAAAAAATGTTTTAAAAAATAAAGATTAAAAAAGGTAAATAAATGCCCAAGAAAAATATCCCTTCTCATTTTATTGATAAGGACTTGTATCACAAAAGGCAACTGTGGACAAGTCACACCTCACATACTTTCAGCCAACCACACTTACATTTCTTTATTCCCCTTCCCTCCCTTGTTCATTTGAGGCATGGCCAGATTCATAGTTTCCATATAAAAAAAACACAATAACAACAAAAGCTTTCCCCAAGCACAAAAAGTCATAACATTGTATGCCTTTGAACAACAAAAATGGGATTCCATAACTAATACTCTGAGGAAACTGAATTAGAACCGAAAATTTAGTCAGACCACTGCTGTTCATAAGCCTCTACACAGCAGATGCCTTTATCTGGGCCAGGGATGCCACTTCAAAGTCCCCTGTGCGAGTGAGTACGTGCAAATATCGAGTCACATGTTACTTCAGAAAGACGTAGAACTCAGTGACTCCCAACCACACCAAAGCCAAAATATGACTTTTACCAAAAGCAACCTGAAATCTGATCAGGTTCATCTGCACTATTTTTAGTTGTTAAGTTGAATCATGAGAAACCCTCCAGAAAAATAAGAAATGCTTATGATCATTTTATGATGAGGCCAAGCTAATATTTTTTTTCAAGTCAGACTATCTACACATAACAAATGATACTACATGAAGTGTAAATTATGGCCTTGGCCAGAGATAGTAGGACTGACTATACTATTTAAAATACAACCTTTAATCAGTAGTAATTACAGAACAAATAATACTAATATTCAGAATAATGACATGATATCTTACCGTCAATCAGTTTAGAGTCCAGTCACAAAGAACACACACACACACAAATCTGGTAACTAGCTGTGGTAAGTTACAAGAGTTAAGTGCTCAATGACTACACTGGAGTCCAAAAATGTTAGGCAACTGTTATGTTCCCATGTGCTGGCAATTATTTACAGATTTTTCTTCCCAAGTAGCCCTGTATACATGCTTGTAAGCATGAGAGACATGCTCAGTGCTTCTAATGCAGACATGTTTCAAGAGTAGGTGTTATACTTACATGACGGCAGTGGTTCCAACCGGAGACTCTCCCACAGCGGTCTGTGTAGCCCAAATGGCACCAGGGCAGGATTCTCTCTCTTATTCCTTGTAATATGTTTTAGTTGGAAGCAGTGCACTAACTGTTCGATCTACATGGGTCTGTAATAAATTTGCTCACAGCATATTTCACAGGAAATATCTGAATCACCACTGCTAATAACTTTGTGTCATCTGGAAAAAATGATACTTGTATTTTCGCTGCATAACTTAGCAACTTTTTATTTTCCTTCTGAAGACATGAGGAATGCGGTCTTCATTGGTTTGAACACCACCTAAGGTCCTGAACAAGTTAAAGCTTGGCTGCCTTAAATAGTCTGTGAAAGGAGGCAGGCTGTATACATAAGCACACATATAATTAAAATATATTAAAATTGGAAGGTCAAGGTACAATAAGAGTCGTAAGGTTCTGATACCATGAAGTTTGAAAGTTGTTTGGGTATCCATAAGTCCATACCAAGAGATGCAGCTTTTTTTTCTTTTTCTTTTTTGTCCTTTCTTTTCACTCTGTGTGTGAGAAAAGGAGAGAGAGGCAAGAAGTAGGCAAGAAAGGAGAGAATACAAGTAACAACAGACAGTGAACTTTCCCTGAGGTAAGGACTTTTATTCTAGAAGCAAGTTTTTTCAGACTGATTATTCAGTTACAAGCAGATTCCAAATGTTGCCAGCTTCCACAACAGAGTTTGAATAATAACATCCCACCTCATATGTGTGCAGCCCATTAAAGTCCACATGCAGTTTTATAGAAACAAATACATACACACAACCACAACAACTACACACCAGAGCTTGGCACTCATTTTTCAGATGGAAAAACAAGACTTGTGATAAAACTGGAACTCGTGCAAACATTCACGGACTCTTGGTTCTAAACTATTTCTACTAGGGAAGAGGAAGGAGTTAAGTATGAGTTTGCAAGGAGTTGGGGCTAAGGGGCTAAGGGGCCAAGCCCAGAGGGGCAAGCATGGGAGAGCCTGAAAATCTGAAACTGTGAAACAGCGCTATCACATATTTGGGAATCCACAGCCATGATCATTTCCAGAAATACTTCCCTGGTTACAACATATGTAGCAGTTAGTTTCTCAAGATGCACTATTACTTATTTCAGGCTTCATCAACACTTTTCAGAAGATACAATTCTTGCTAAAGCACAGGGTTTGGCAAACAGTTGGGGCTTGCCCTGCCTGACAGTATAATACCTGGTGTTAGGGTGGTTGGTGACGCAAGCTGTGAAAGAATCCACGGAGACAAGAAAAGGCAGCAAGCAAAGTTTTATTCACTTTCCAAGAGTGGAAGGGGCATGGCGTGGAAAGATATAGCAGCATTGAGGGATGTAGACTTTGAGCTTTTATTGGATTATAATTGGATTATAAAAGGGTGCAGAGGTCACCATTGTGTGGCCCCTGGGCTGTTGGGGGCTGTCACACAGGAGATTTCGCTTTGTTCTGCATAAGCTGCAGTTTGTTCCAATGTCATCTCCTGCCCGCAGCTGTGGGGAGCGCTTAGTCACCATTGTGTTCTTGCTTTCCAGTATTTTCCAGTCCCTGAGACAAGCTCTGAAGAGTGAAATGGCGTCGTATTTCACAAGGTCACAGGCCTGCTCTGCAAACAGGGCCATGGTAGCAGTAGAGCCAGTTTTGTCCTTTCACCTAGGGCATAGCAACCTCATACTTAGCGAGAAATACCCTCAGGCTGCTGTGGAAGGGACTGTTGGCCACAGTTGGCTCACAGTTGACTGGTTTGTCCTTGAGGATCTGCTGCTAGGGTATAATCAACTGGTGAACAGACCGCCCCCCCCATGGTCTATTTCAATGCCCAAACTCTGGCAACTGCTCTTTTCTCCCTGACCCATAGCGGAGGAATGGGTCAAAGGAAAACCTGGAAAAAAAAAACCCTCTAAAATTAACCTTCAGAGTATGCCTGGTAGGCAGGTCTGTCAGTAGTTCTAGCATATGAGTTTTCCTTTCTCCATTTTCCTATGTCATTTTATGTTAAGTATTAGAAAGTTCCAGAAAGCCCTAAGTTGCCACCCCACCACACACACAAAGAGAAAGGTCTTATAGATAGTGGGCTTCCTCAGTAATTTGACTGGGATGGATAGTACGTTCTCACTTTCTCCAGAAGGGCTGCTCTGACCATCCCAGATTGAACATCATCACTACCTGTCCCTTCCCTGCCCACAGTCTCTGCTATATTTTTGGTGCCTCTCATTTAGCCTTTATTACTCAACCACTGTGTGGCATGAAAATAACTTTTGTAAGCACTTTATCTTCTCTACGAATGTGCTTGAAGGTCCTTATGGAAGAAACTTTTACTTTTCCACCACTTTCAGTACAATGTTCTAGACATAAAAAGTTCTCATCCTGAGGAATTAATTAAATAGAAGTACTGATTTACAAAATGTGATTGTTTTTGTTAGAGGCAGTGCCATCATCTGACCATGTAAAATATTTTTCCCACATCATTAGGCCATGGGCAAGTCCCTGCCAGAAATCCAAAGAAAAAATCTGATGATTTACTGTTGACCCTGACAGAACTCTCCAGTTTAGGACATCAATTCATATCTGATGAAATAGCCCAGATTTAAACAAACTTCTTTCCCTCTGTCTCTCTGTCTCTCTGTCTCTCCCTCTCTCACACACACACACACACGCGCACACAGAGACTTTATTCCCAGGAGACTATCTGACCTAATTATCCTGGAGGTAAAGTACTAATGAATAATAACATAAAGGATAAAGAACCTCTTACTCTTACCCTTATTCGTTCCCTATTGCCACCATGCACACTAATCAAGCACAGTAAAAGTCCATATTGAAGATGAATTCTTAGAACTTGTTTGTCATCAAATATATTACCTCTCTCTCAGCATTGCACCATCTGTGTGTTTGATCAGCCTCCCCTCTGAGAAAAGTTGCAGACGTGCCATGGGCACAGACCGGCTGTGGATCTGAGTAACCAAAGAGAAACAGACACAGAGAGATTAGAGATTTGCCACACTTCTCTGAAACCCAGATTGGCATGGCTCAACTAACAAGATTATTGCCACTTTTATTGGAAGACTGACTCACTCCTAATCTCTTGTGACTTCTCAATATCTGCCTTCCTTTTTAAAAATTCTGACCTTCTAGGCCTGCGGTCCTCACAGCCTCACACATGTTCCCTAAATTTTTCTTTGTGAAAAGCCCAAGTGCACGCACACGTTGCGCCCTTCAGAGATTCTGAGGTGATTCAGTGAGTGCATCACCTATCATTACCACCTCCCTCATTTATCATATGTGAAGCCAAGTCCCTTTCTGGGAAGTGATTTTTTTTTTGCAGGTTTGATAGCAAATTAGCATATGAATTAGAACTAGAAGTTTCCTTCCTAACATCTGGCAGTGCTTCCTCCACCGTGTTTCACAGCCTCCATGGACACTACACAGTCTTGCCTTAGCCACTAAAGAGATATACACTGCTTATAGATCATCTTTTCTGAATTATCTCCATCTTTGTCAAGCTGTTCTTTCTCAGGTGCTTGCCCTTTTTTGTGGACACTAAAAATTGCAGAAGCAGGATCAATGAGATATGTTGTTTAGCACCTATCTCATATACAGTGATCCCTCACCTATCTCAGGAGTTATGTTCCAGAGACCCCTACAATAGGTGAAAATCCACAAAGTAGCAGCATTATATTTATTTTATTATTTATATATATTTTAAGGCTTTATAAACCCTTCCCACACTCCTATAAACCTTTCCCACTATCTTATTAATGTTTCCCACACTCTTATAAACACTTCATATGCTCTTAAACACTTTTTACACTCTTAAATCTATGTAATTTTGACAACATATAAAATTCTATGCAGGTACTCACCAGTGAAGTATACAGCTGTCCCTCACTATATCATGGTTCACTTACTGCTGCTTCACTGTATCGCGGGTTTTGTGTAACGAGAGGCAACTGTAGTACAAAGCCCAACCATTTATTTGGTGCAGAGCTGCTATCAAACATGCTGTCAGCCCTGGCTGGTGTGGCTCAGTGGATTCAGCACCAGCCTACAAACCAAAGTGTTGCTGGTTCGATTTCCAGTCAGGGCGCATGCCTGGGCTGTGGGCATGTGACAGGCAATCAATCTATGTTTCTCCCTCACATTGTTATTTCTCTGCCCTCACCTCCCTCCCTTCCCCTATCTCTAAAAATAAATAATCTGGATGACATAAACCAGTGATTTTCAACCAGTGCTCCGCAAGAATTTTTAAAACATGCAATACCTGACTATTTAGTCAGGAGCACTGACCTCTTTTCCCTCAGATTGTCAAATAAACACATGACAATAACCAATACAAAAATAGCTTTCCAGTGTCAGTGAATCAAAATTATACCTACTTTTGGTCAGATTGGCAAAAAATACAATACATTCTTGGCATGCCACTGAATTTTAGTAATTAGCTTATGTGTGCCATGAAATGAAAATGGCTGAAAATTGCTGCAATAAACATTTTCATTTTGCAAAGACAACATGAATAACATGAGTTTGAGATACAAGATTGTAAGAATGATTCTGCACTCTGTGTTCTTTATGAACAAAAAGGATTAACCATTCAAACCACCCTACGCTGCATATAATGGGCATGTAAAAACAATATTCACCCCTTACCATAATTATTAAGGAGTTTTAAATTGTTCCAACAATGGAAAATCATGGAGCCATTAAAAAATATTAAGGTACCAGAGGACTTCCACCAAAATGGAGGCGTAGGTGGGAACACTTTTCATCCTCGCACAACCAAATCTAAAAACAACAAAGTTTTAACAACAATAAACACAACCAACCACACAGAAAATCGAATACGGAGTCTGGAAACAACGGACCACTCAGCTAATCTGGTGAGAGGGGCGAAACCAGCAGCGGAGCCAGTTGGGCAAAAAAGATCCAGGTGGTGCACAGGCAGCCAGTGGCACAGATCCCAGGTGCGGGCTAGCCACGGGCAGAACCCAGGGAAGAGGCGGTGCTGGCTGTCTACAGTTGGTCGCGCATTTGCACACAGATAAACCAGTGAAGAGGTGAGCACTGAGACAGACCTCGCAGGCCCCAGCGACTGGTGCAGGGCAGCAGACTTGCACATTTGCACTCAGATAAGCAGGTGGGGGTGGGGGGCAAGCTGTGAGGCCCGCCATTGCTCCCTCTCTGACCCCGCCCCCACATACAGCGTCACAAACCTGCGACCTGGGTGGCCCCGCCCCGGTAAACACCAAGGTGCCTCCCCTTGTACGTAACAGGCACGAACAGATCAAAACATGGCTCAAGAACAACTCAGAGCCCCAGAGCCGATAAATCTAAGCGATGAAGAAATAGCCAAACTTTCAGATGCACAGTTCAAAACACTGGTGATTAGGATGCTCACAGAACTGGTTGATTTTAGTCACAAATTAGAGGAATATATGGAGGCTAAACTAATTGAAATGAAGGGAAGTGCACAGGAAACCAATAGCGATGAAAGGGAAATTGGGACTCAAATCAATGGAGTGGACCAGAAGAAAGCAAATAATGGCCAAACAGAAAAGAGTCAGGAAGCAAGAATTCAAAACAATGAGGAGAGTCTTAGGAACCTCCAGGACATCTTTAAACGCTCCAACATTCGAATTACAGGGGCACCAGAAGGGGAAGAGGAACAGCCACAAGTAGAAAACTTATTTGAACAAATAATAAAGGAGAATTTCCCCAATCTGGCAAAGGAAATAGACTTCCAGGAAATCAGGAAGCTCAGAGAGTCCCAAAGAAGTTGGACCCAAGAAGGAACACACCAAGGCATATCATCATTATATTAGCCAAGATTAAAATGAAAGAGAGAATCCTAGAAGCAGCAAGAGCTAAGGGGACAGTCACCTACAAAGGAGTCCTCATCAGACTGTCAGCAGATTTCTCAAAAGAGACCTTACAGGCAAGAAGGGGCTGGAAAGAGGTATTCCAAGTCATGAAATACAAAGACCTACATCCAAGATTCCTCTATCCAGCAAAACTTTCATTTAGAATGGAAGGGCAGATAAAGTGCTTCTCAGATAAGATCAAATTCAAGGAGTTCATCATCACCAAGCCCTTACTATATGAAATGTTAAAGGGACTTATCTAAGAAAAAGGAGATAAAAAAGATGAACAGTGAAAGGACAGCAAACTCACAGTTATTAACAACCACACCTAAAACAAAATCAAATTAAGAAGACAGCTAGATCAAGAGTGAACCATAGAAATGGAGATCACATGGAGGGTTAGCAACAGGGGAGTGGGAGAAGGAGAAGGGGGGAGAAGATACAGAAAATAAGTAGCATAGACAGTAGATAGAAAATAGATAGGGGGAGGGTAAGAATAGTAGGGGAAATATAGAATCTAAAGAACTTGAGACACGTGGTCATGAACTAAAGAGGGGAGAATGGTGGGGGAGGGGTGTGCAGGATGGAGGGGAACGGAGGAGGGGGAATAGAACAAATGTAATGGCATAATCAATTTTTTAAAAAGTTTAAAAAAACAATCAACACAAACTTTCCTGACATACAAATAAAAATCCTCTACTTAATCAAAAAATAAAAATAAACCATAAAAATATATTAAGGTACCAAATTCTTTATTTAAATAG